AGCACGTTCATATTCTTTGAAGAATGAATATGTATTCATAAATCAGATGTTGTCACATTCACATCATGAATGGACCATAATCATCTATATGTGCTTTACAAAATCTCATGTCAAATCGATGACAAATAAACTACGTCAACAGCTAACAATTTGACCCTTGATTACCAATCATCTTTGCTATTTTTGGTACTAGCTAGCAGTAAATAGAGAAAATAGGAGTTGCTTGTAATTAAATAGTTCTCTATAAATTTGATTTGATCATGTATCATTTTAGGCTGCATTACACAAATATCCCCTTTTTAGGCCACCTTTTGAATTTTATCCACATTTTTAAAAGTTGTGCAACTATAGCCTAGACAACGTTAAAGTCCACTCTAATATTTGCTCGTATATTGATCAATCTTACATGCAAAATATTATTATTGTCTAATGTTTACACTAAATTAACAAATTTTAGATCATGGTCTAATGTTTTTAATAAGACTTTTAGTTTTTCGAAATCTTTGAAGTTGTTTGTATTTAGTTATTTACAAACGATGATTCATTCTTCTTCTTTGAGTATAGTCCTAAATAGTCTATTTGGCTTTTATTGAAGTGTATATATTTATAAACTTAAAGGGAAAATCTAAATACTGATGAGGCGCTAAGTGTACAACAATGGATTCATCACATTTCAAAGAAAATCAAGGGGGAAATGAAAACACAAATATTGTTTTTCTTAATTTGAAGTTCATATGCATACAATAAGAACTCAATTATAATAGCAATTGCCAAATTAAGGTTTATAAGCTTCTTAATTTGTTTCAACAACTATAAATCACATATGCTTTTCAATCAATCCATAATAATCAATATTACATCATATGAAATATATCATCTCAATCCAATTATAATATAACAAGATAATTCTTATGCATTTCACGAACTTTAAGGATAAGAGTTCACATAATAATTGTGCCTTTTGGATGGTGCAGAAGGAGGAATAGGAACACCTTTTGGTAGCATATTGAACCAATTACTTTTCACAAATTCATTCTTTTCACCATATAACTCTCTATTAGGCTCTGAGAACTTTCCAGAAGCTTCCTCTTTTGTCGCCGTCGTCGTCGCCATTGTTCTCACTGTAGCACCATAGCCAAGTACAAGAGAAAGGGTAAGAATCAAGCACATAAAATTCCATGAAAAATGAAAGGTTTTAGAATTATTAGTAGAATAAGCCATTGGAAGGTTTTCTTGAAAATTTGCTGGCTAAGTATGTATTTATTTTCTTCGTTTGAAAAATATAAGGTTTTACGTAGGGGTATATATAGTGCATGTATATGTGCATGGAGAAGTGCAAGAGTTTAACTAGTAATTAATATAATTTGGAGAATATTGTTTTTGAAGTGAATCATACGGAAAAACTACTTTAAATTTTGAATGAAAAATTAAGGGGTTCTTAAAAAGAAAATGTTGGTTTGGGATAATGATAATAGTTTATTCTATCTATATTTTAATAGTAAAATTTATTTATATCAATCTAGAGGATATTCCTTGTACGTATGTGGGATATAATGTGTAAGTTTGAAATATGTGTTAATTTGTAGTTTGGAAAATAGATTAGAGGAATTTACGTTTTTCTATTTTGACGCTGAAATTGGTTATTGTTAAATGTACTAAGAATACCTCTAAATTCACGTGCTCAATGCTCTGTTTTATTTAAGGATATTGCTAATATTGGAATTAAGCCTTGCATTGTACGCTTAAGTGCTGAGTGCACTTTAATTTGATTGTGATTTTATGAGATGGAATGCATCAAATTTCAAGTACCAACCTAAATTTACTATTTTGTTGTTTTACGCTTTAAAATTGTGGAAAAAACATTATCCAGTCACTACATAATTAAGTAGAAATAAGTTTTTATACCTAATATTAAGTAGACTATTACTTGAGCTCTCGGAAAAAGATCATACACTTGCTTTGTTATCTCGGCAAACAACTCTAACCGGAATTAGTTAAGGCTTACTCCATCCGGTCCACTATAAGTGACCATTTTACATTTGGCACACCCATTAAGGAAATATGAATTTTTAGAAAAAAAAAAAAAGATGTATTCACTAAATTAACCTTAATTCATTGTTACGTACCTTGACACATTAGAATATGTAAATAAGGGTAAATTTTGGATAAATAAAATTAATTCTTCTTGATTATATGAATAGACACTTATTTTAGACCAAAATAAAGAGAAAAAAAAAAACAATCACTTATTATAGACCGAAATAAATACTATTAAAATGCCAGTTAACTAAGGAGGGGCATTTGCACAAATACCGAATCTACCATTAAATTAAACTGAATGTGACATTGCAATTCCTAGTTTTTATGAATTTTTTAGATGCACGAAAATACCGAAAGGGAAATTAAATTTAAGACTGTCAAACAGCACTCATTACATAGTTCAAGCCTTCAAGGAGCGCTGTATGATATTTGCAATTTTGGCTAAAAAGTTTAAAATTTATAAGCAACTCTTTTTGGCTTTTAGCTGAGGATACAAATTAAACCGATTATTTAAAAGTTAATTAACAATTCGAACCTACGACCATTACAAACCCAAATAAACACTTGACCAGCGGACCAAGAAGTACTCTTTGCTAGGAAGTGTCATTACTATATGTTGCTTCATTTTTACAAAATATTAGTATAAACATTTAATTATTTGTCCGGCGAAACGGTATCGGATGACACCACTTCCCCATGTACATTCGCCCCCACTCTTCAGTTTTCTGTAAACAGAGGAGCAGTCGGGATTTGAAGTCTTTGGATTCGGCCTTGCAATCTTTTTAAGTTACTGAATTTAAATTATATATTTATATATATATATCCAATGGATTCTTTAAAATTAATACAAAGCATAAATAAAAGTTACTGGATTTGACCGAACCTGCATCCAACACTGTGGCTCTGTCCCTGCCCGCAAATACATGTGATTCTCGTTTTAAGGAGGTTCTTAATCATTCAACCTAAAGTCCATTTAACTTTCCAGGAAATACAGGTTTTGAACATTAATTATGGTGATTAGTACAAGAAATTACAGTGATAAGTACTTTCTAATCGTTCTTCAGAGTTTACCTGTTGTATCCATATCTTCACGAGTTAGAAAGTTATTTTTATCTATTCAAAGAGTACCAGGAATTATGCATATGATGCTGTGAATTTTTTGGAAGCACCAAACTTGGACAGTCACTTTCCAAGCTCGAACTAAGTTAAAAATGTAATACATATAGTCCGGCCCTTCATATATGAACCTTTTTTTTTTGGTAATAAATGTGAATATTACCATACCAACCAAATGCTTTACATCCTAAGAGCATGAAGTGTACTAGCTTTTCTAGTATATCAAGACCTCAAAAAAAAATTAACTCTACTAAGTACAAAATTCCAGCGACTTTAGAATAAAGAACTAAAAAGAATCAACCTACAGAAAACATCCTAATTACATAGTCATTGTATCATCAGCGGACATTGTTTTGCTCTTTTAGACTCTGCAAACATGCCCATTCTCTCCTTCTTAATTTGCCCAACACAGAACTCCATGTTCAGGTTAATTTGTCTAAAAATTCTCCAGTTCCTCGCTTGCCAAGTATGGTATACAATCGCTCCTATAATTGATGTTGCAACCTCCTTCCTTAATTGCTTCCAATGCCTTCTTTTAATCCACTGTATCATCTCTGGTATTGCCATGTCTGGTAGTCTGATTGCTGCCCAACTAGTCAGAGCATCTCTCATATTTTTTACCCAACAGCAGTCCCCAAACAGATGTTGTTGTGTCTCTATCACTCCCAGATTACACATGCAACACTCAGCATCACATGTGAAAGGAATGTGTAGCTGTAATAGTCTGCCCTTTGTTTGTATGCCAGCCACAAGATAAATCTGTGTCTTGGTAGCATTACCCTGCTCCATATCAAATCCATTTCCCTGCACCTTGACATATGTCCCATCATTACATTGTAACTGCTAGAGACAGAATAATCTCCATTGCTCGTCAGCCTATATGTATTTTCATTGTACCATTGTGCCATATTATGTTTTAAGCTATTTATCTTCTTCCAATACCAACTACAGTCAGAGGGTGGATTATGTTCCCAAATGTTTCTATAGGACTTCATATACACCCCATGTACCCATCTCACCCACAGTACTTCCTTGTTTGTCACTAGTTGCCATAGCAGTTTACCAACAGAAGCTATATTCTAATTTTTACACCCCTTAATGTTCAGTCCTCCATATTTCTTTGGCCTGCATAGTATATCCCATGAAACCAATGCCATCTTTCTATGTCCTTCTGTAGTGTCCCATAGATACTTCCTGCACTTCCTGTCAACTGCTTTTATAACACTTTGAGGGAGTATAAAGACAGCCCCCCAAAAGTTGTATATTGCAAACAACACTGCATTGATCACTTGCAATCTACCTACATAGGAAAGTTATTTTGCATATCCTGATTGAATGACTGATATGATCTTCTCTACTAGCTGATGACACTCTACTTTGCTTCACTTCTTTGATGTTAATGGTAGCCCCTTGTATCTCATAAGTAATGTACCCACTGAGAATCATGTATCTCTCACAATAGCCTGTTTTGTTGCTTCATCCATTCCTGCTAAGAATATGTTTGATTTCTCCATATTAGCTACCAGCCCTGACACTTCACTGAAATGGTTCACTACTTCCAACATCCTGTGGATAGATTGACTGTTACCTTTACAAAATAACATCAGATCATCTGCAAATATCAGGTGTCTCACTTTGGTGGTCTTACACATGGGGTGAAATTGAAAATCTGGGAGCTCACTCATTTTATTCAACCCTCTAGTTAGGTACTCCATAACAAGCACAAACACTAAAGGAGACATAGGATCTCCCTGTCTCAACCCCCTTTTTCCTTCAAAGTAACTATATCCTGCACCATTCACTTTTACAGTGAAAGTAGTTGTTGTAACACACACCATAATCAGTTAGATGAATGGCATTGGGAAACCATAACCTTTAAGAACTTCCTCCAGAAATTCCCACCTAACCATGTCATATGCTTTCTTTAAGTCAATCTTCATCAAGCATCTTGGAGTTGTCTTCCTGTTATAATGCCTCAATAGATCATGGCATATAAGCACATTGTGTATAAGTGATCTGCCTTCAATAAATGTTGCTTGATTATCAGCTACAATCATAGGAATGGCTTTCCTCAATCTAGTACAAATGATCATAGAAATACATTTGTAGATAACATTGCAACAAGAAATAGGTCTGAATTGACTTGCCTGCAAGGGATTCTTCACTTTTGGTATAAGAGCTATACTAGTTGAATTTATCTGAGTAAGTATTTGCCCATTATCAATAAATTCCGACACTGCCTTGGTCACCTCCTCTCCAATTACTAACCAACATGCTTTATAAAAACCATTCCCATACCCATCTGGACCTAGACTTTTAGTATCATTTATACTGAACATAGCATTCTTCACTTCTGGACCTGTGTATGGTCTTACTAACTGCAATTGTTGAGTAGTTGATAGTACTTTACCATTCTTCAAAAAGCTCTGAATGGCATGATCCCTGTATCTTCCTTTTGTCCCTAGTAGCTCCTGATAATACTCCACAAATATACCTGCTATCTTTCCTGCTCAGTTTTCAGGCATCCAACCTTATCAGCAAGTTGGATAATGGCTTCTTGCAGTCTTCTGTGCTTTATCACTGAGAAGAAATATCTATTATTATCATCTCCCAACTTAATCCAAGTAGCTTTGCTCCTTTGTTGAAGGAATATTTCTGCCAAATAAGATGATCTCTTGAATTTTTGGAACTTCTGAATTTCTTCTTGATGTAGCTCAACATCCAGTGGATTTCTATGAAGCTCTGCTTGAGCTGTAGCCAAAGCCATTGTATCTGCATCAGCTTCTTCAATAATATTGCTGAAATAACTCCTATTCAATACCTTTAGTTTCTTCTTTAGCATTTTTAGCTTCCTAACCACTTTGAAATAACTCCTATTCATATATGAAACTTTGTTTCTCTTGATTTCGAAGCTACAAATGACCAAAGATTAATTAGTCTAAGCTTCTACTTATTGTAACACTCCGTGAATTCAGACTAAGTATGGAAATATTAAATGAGTATTAATATGAAATTTTAGACATGTGAATGTTCAATCAGGATGAGTATGAGTGAAAATAGTTGTTTTGGAATCAAGACGGAGAGTGAGGTGCATAAGATTGATAAAATCGACTAAGTTTATGGAATACCTGTCTTATATCAGGATTTCGTGAACATCTGTTGAGGAATTGGGAAAACTTAAAACATGAAAGTTGTAGTCCTTTGCAATACCTTTTCGATGATATATTATGGTGCCCGAAAGGACCTCTGGAAAAAAAAGTTATGCACATTTTACTGGACAATGTGCAGTCTGCACGATCATGTGCGTGCCTAACTGTTCTCGTGCACGGCCGCATACTTGTGCAGTGACACTGCTTTTGATGCGCGTTCAGGTGCGCGGTTGGGCCTTCAACTGCGTGGAGGTGCACCCGGGAAGCCGTTTTATAAGCCCTACTTCGTCCCCCACACCCCAAAACTCAAAAACTTGCTTTAGAGAAGCTCTCAAGAACCTAACTCCTCAAAGATCCCTCCACCATCCAAGATAAGTTATAATGGTGATTATGGGTGTATATTGTATGAAGGAAAATATTTTCCGGAAATATGGAAACCGAAAAATATTTTTCAATTTTTCCATGTTTGGTTGGCTTAAATATTTTGGAAAATATTTTCCTTATGAACTCATTTTCCTCCAATTGGAGGAAAATATTTTCCTTATCAAGAAAAGGGAAAATATTTTCGATAACTCCTTCTCAACCTTCCCCACCCTCACTAACCACCCCACCCCCTCTCCAAAAAAGGTTTTTTTTGTTTTTTTTTTAAATTTCAGTTTTTCCGTTACCACCCACCCTACTACCCCTCCACCCCACCCCACCCCAACCCCCACCCAATCCCCCCAACTTGCCCCCCTCCCCCCCCCCCCACCCGCACTGTAATTTAAATTTCTATTTTTTTTTGGTTTTACTGCCCCCCTGCACCCCTCCCCCCGAAAAAAAATATTTTTTAAATATATTTTTAAGTTTTAGTTTTTTTATTTATCGGTTTAAAGGTTCAAAATTTTACAAGTTCCAAAAATTATGAGTTCGGAGGTTTATGTGTTTGGAAGTTTACGTGTTTAGAAATTATAAAGTTTACGGGTTCGAAATTTCGCGGTTCGAAAGTTTATGAAATTTGTGGGTTCGGAAGGTTGTTGGTTTGAAAGTTTATGGCTTCATGTTTATTATATCTAAATTATTTATGAATACTCTTGAGAAGTTATTTTCCTTAATTTACGTACCAAACATCGGAAAACGAATAAGATTACTACTTATTTTTCAAGAAAATATTTTCTTGGAAAATATTTTCCACGGAAAATATTTTTCGTTATACCAAACACACCCTATAAGATAATTCTAATTCTGCAACACCTTATTAACATGGGTTAACCCTTCAAATCATTAGATATTCGATTGAGACATCATGGTTGAGAAAAGAAACCCTAGAAATCGAATTCAAGAGGATTGAACGTCAAAAGGTAATATCTTCACCCTCTAATTGATTATAGCATTGAGCTAATGCTTATAGACTCTAAGTTCATGAGATATGAGTGATGGTTTTAATAGAAAATCATGATTGATTATAGGTTTGGGTTGTTGATTGTTGATTATTGATTAAGGGTGTTATTTATCTTATGGATGATGAAGAATGATATTAATTATAGCAAGTTGAGATTTTAGAATTTTCTGGGAGTAAGAGAATAGGATGTTGGGTGTAGAAACACCATTAATAAGGACTATGAAGCTTTATACCATTAAATGTTTGATACAATGCCTAAGTGACTAAAATATGAGAATTAGTGCTAATATTGGTTCCTCTTGATATAGGTTGCCATAGATTACCGTTGAAAGAGGTGGAGAACATTATGATACGCTTAAAAGGGGAAAAACCAAGGTATGTGAGGCTAACTCTCTATGTTTGGGAATTTTGTTTACAATGTTGCTAATTGCCTCAGAAATACAGTTAAACTTAGTTCCTTGATTGCAAAACTTCTGTTCTCTAGCTTCATAACTCGTTCATGACTTTAACTCTGAACGTTGTGAGCTCAGTACGTAATCAATATAGACTTGGATTTGATGCCCATGAGTCTCAGTCTAGATTTCTCGACATGTCATAAACAATGACGTTTCAGTTTTCATAATCAGTTCAAGAATACATGTCTGAGTCTAGTCCTATTCGGTATTCCAGTATCATGTAACTCAATGATTTTCAGTTCCTGAATTTAAATCTCTGAATGTTGAACACTTATATTTGGGCCTAAGGCCATAGTTTATATGCTTTATGCATATTTGGGCCTAAGATCGTAGTTTATGCTTTATGCATTTTTGGGCCCGAGGCCATAGTTATGTATATGTATACTTGGGCCTAAGGCCGTAGTTATGTATACGTATACTTGGGCCAGAGGCCGTAGCTTGTGCACATATATATTGGGCCCGAGACTGTAGTTTATTCAGATAAACAGGTGGTTTATCATTCAGAAGAGAGAGTATTCATATCCTTACTTCCTTTGTTCAATTCAGTTATCAATTATTAGTTATTATTTCAGTTATTGGTTATCAGTTATGAATTCAGTTTCAGTTTCAGTTTCAACATTATCATTTTAGTTATCAATTATCAGTTCTTAGTTATCAGCTCATTTTCAGTTTTAACATTTATAGTTCTTTCTTTCAGTTGTTTTACATACCAGTGCAATTCAAATGCACTGACATCCCTTTCGCCAAGGGCCTGCATCTCATGATGCAGGTAATGATTTACAGGTTGACGATTCAGAGAGCTAGGATTCTTGTACCAGCTATTTGGAGAGCCCCAGTTCTTTCGGGGCATTACCATTACTTTACAGTCTTTCAGTATTTGTAGACAGTCAGTTCTCAATACTTCATTAGAGGCTTCATAGACTAGAGTAACAGTTAGACAGAGTTGCATGCTTTTCATGTTAAGCAATGTTGAATACATATATGTTTTAGACCTATATTAGTGTTTTCGCACTTTGATTTATATCATTCAGACTTTCAGTATATCAACATGTGTTAGTTTATATTCCGCTTTCAGTACAGTCGACTTTTTTCCCCATCACAAAACCAAATCAAAACGAACTGTAGTCGGATTTTTTTTTCTCGGTTTGACTCGGATTATCGGTTCGATGCGGTTTGTCAGTTTCCTTTATTCACCCTCTACTAGCAGTAGTTAGAGAAAATAAGAGTTGCTTGTAATTAGTAGTTCTCTATAAATTTGATTTGATCATGTATCATTTCAGGCTGAATTACACAAATGTCCCCTTTTTAAGGCCAACATTTGAATTTTATCCCTATTTTTAAAAGTGTGCAACTATAGCCTAGACAACGTTAAACTCTGGTCTAATATTTGCTCATATATATATTGATCAATCTTACCGGCAGAACATTATTATCATCTAATGTTTACAATAACTTATCAAATTTTATATCATGGTCTAATGTTTTTAATAAGACTTTTAGTTTTTCGATCGAAATCTTAATTTGAAGTTGTTTGTATTTACAAACGATGATTAATTCTTCTTCTTCGAGTATAGTACTAAATAGTCTATTTGGCTTTTATTGAAGTGTATACATTTATAAACTTAAGGGAAAATCTAAATACTGATGAGGCGCTAAGTGTACAACAATGGATTCATCACATTTCAAAGAAAATCAAGGGGGAAATGAAAACACAAATATTGTTTTTCTTATTTGAAGTTCATATGCATACAATAAGAACTCAATTATAATAGCAATTGCCAAATTAAGGTTGATAAGCTTCTTAATTTGTTCAATAACTATAAATCAGATATGCTTTCAATCAATCGGCCATAGTAATCAATATTACATCATATAAAGTATATTATAATCAAATTAAGGGTAAGGGTTCACATAATAATTGTGCCTTTTGGATGGTGCAGAAGGAGGAATAGGAACACCTTTTGGTAGCATATTGAACCAATTTCCTTTCAGATATTCATTCTTTTCACCATATAACTCTCTCACAGGCTCTGAGAACTTTCCAGAAGCTTCCTCTTTCATCGCCGTCGTGGTCGCCATTGTTCTCACTGCAGCACCATAGCCAAGAACAAGAGAAAGGGTAAGAATCAAACACATAAAATTCCATGAAAAATGAAAGGTTTTTGAATTAGTAGAATAAGCCATTGGAAGGGTTTCTTGAAAACTCTACTGGCTAAGTATGTATTTATTTTCTCAGTCGAAAAATATAAGGTTTTACGTAGGGGTACATGTATATATATATGCATGGAGAAGGCAAGAGTTCAACTAATGTGGAAGTAATTAAAATATTTTGGGAAATATAGTTTTTGAAGTGAATCATACAGAAAACTACGTTGAATTTTGAATGAAAATCTAAGGGGTACTTAAAAAGAAAAATTTAATATTTAGGACGATGATAAGTTTATTCTATCTATATTTTAATAGTAATATCTATTTACATCAATCTAGAGGATATATATTCCTTGTACGTATGTGAGGAATTATATGAATGTTTGAAATATGTGTTTGTAGTTTGGAATTAGGGGAATTTACGTTTACTACGTTAACGGTGAAATTGATTATTGTTAATTACTCCTTCCGTCTCAAATTAACTGTTCATGGTTTCTAAAAATAGTTGTCTCAAATTATTTGTTATTTTAAAAGTTTAATAATGAATTAATTATTTTTTCCTATTCTAGCTACCCTTAACAGTAATTGTTCGTGAAGACTACAAATACCTTAATTATGAGTAAGTATTAAATAAAGAGATATATCTTAAGACATAAATAAGTGTAAAATAATCGAAAAACTTTTCTATTTAATATTTTCTTAATGAGCG